AACGGGGCAGCCTCGGGGCATCTGGGGCCGCAAACCAAGAGCGTTGCAGCAACACACACCCAGCAAGCAACACTGCAGCCGCCTGCACCCGATTATCAAGACCAGTGGCCTGGGTGAAGGAGAGCGCGTACCGACAACAATCATCGGACGACTCCGGGTCACAAGAACAAGGACCCAACAGGCAGCATGACGGAGGCACAACAGGTGAGTGTCACCCTGAGACAAGGGGGACAGATCAACCGTCAAACTCGCAAGATGCGAGGGGGACTCCGGGGACACATCTAGGGGACCACGGAGCCCCCCGTGGGGTTTCCCAGGGCCCTTAGCCTTTGGTACACGCTAAGGGAAGCCCAGGCAGGGTACCGCGAACCGGCGCCCAAATCTACCAACAAACTGCTAAAGCTGAACCCCTGGGACGTGTCCACTCACGGGAGCCAAGCGGGGAGTACCGCCAACAGAAGAATTCGAAAGAAATTCACCTATTACAGGAAAGGGAGACCATAGTAAAGGCAGACCCCCCACCAGGCAAAAACAAAAACAAAAGAAAAACCCAGCAAGAGGACAACGTACCCAGGCGGAACAGAGCCGGCCGCTGTTAATGGTGAAAACTAGCTGTGCAGTACCCCGCGCCCCTACCAGTGACGAAAACTACCACCTACCCAGAGACAAACCAGGGCAACAAAACCCCAGCCGACTCCAAGGACAGCCCAGTACCGAGCAGTAAAGGACACAGCGGAGGCAGAACCCAAGGTGACTTGTGGAAGGTGGCCCCAAGCCCCAAGGGCAGTACTTGCAGGGCACCTAGGGAAGATAGCCCTAGGCACATGCAGCCCGAGTACGTACTGTGGAATCTTACTCCTGGCTCACACCCCACCGGTAGAGACAGTCCACACCACAAGGCACAGAACTGAAACAAAAACCGGAGCCAGAGGCACTCGGCCAGCCAGTAAGACCATCAGCCAAGAACTGCCAGTTGGATCGCCGGCGTGGAGGGTCTGGGGCTCCCCCTTCCCGCTCTCGGGGAGGGGGGGGTTGCGCAGACGGTGGCGCGGCGACGTGATGACGTCATGCTAGTTTGATAATTTTGTTTGGGGAGTTCTGTCCACTCGTTCGGCTTTCGGTAGCAATAATTTCACCAGAATAGGGGTTTGTTTTGGGGCGCTTACCTTTCTGGGTGCCTGTCCCGGTCGATGGCAGATATAGAATGCTCCCAATCACAAGGGGGTTTCTATAGGCCATTGCTCCTCGTGCCTCTCTGAGGTGGCCAGGTTCTGGCTCGTGGTCCCCAGTAGGCAAGAACTCCTAGCACTTTGACTGATGCCAGAAAGTTATACATATCCATTCAGCCTGGATAGCTCCGGGGAGCCGACGGGGCTCCCCCCAGAAAAAATCATGGGCAACATTCCCAGGCGTGAGAGCCTCAGTACTGAATGAGCCAGCCACCAAGGCTGGTGCACGCAGCATGATATATATGTAACTGGTATTATTTAGCCATGATAGTATTACAGAAGAGCCTGACTGTGATAAAGACTGTGTACAAATGCTGTTCAAGATGTTCACAGTGCTAGCCACAGCACACTGCCATTATTTCTTCCATCTAGGAATCTTCAAACGACTTCTCGTGTTCCTTTACAAAACAAACTTGTGGAAAATTATTCATTTACAGGATTTAGTTACCAGGATTCTGATAATAGCAGGATTGTGGTGATAATTAGTGCTGTGCATAGTATGGTGGGAGGAGTAATCTTGGTGAGGGAGGGGGAGGTGGCGTCGTCTGCTGACCATGTGAGGCTACCTCGTATTGACTGCACTCACCATACCAGCTTAGTGGTTCACTATGGTGAACACAAATGTAGATACTTATATATAACGTATGTATAGAGTATGGTCCCCGATAGGCCTAGAACTCCATTCACACTGAATGATGCCAAAGTCTAAGGATATACATATCAGCCTGGATAGCTCCGGGAAGCCATTCTCCCTCCAGAAAATATTGTTGCTGTTATTACAGTACATTGAACATAAGAACATAAGAACAAAGGCAACTGCAGAAGGCCTATTGGCCCATACGAGGCAGCTCCTATTTATAACCACCCAATCCGTATACACACACATTACATATAAGTATCTGCATGGTTTGATCACTATAACGAACCACTACGCTGGTATGGTGCATTGAAACAGCATAGTGGCCACCAACACAACAGTCAAGTGACGACATTACCTCACTGCCAAGATTCCTCCTCCCAGCAAACTATTTTTGCTGCTATAAGTATTACACTATACAAACATTATATGCAAGTATCTACATGTTTTGTTCCCCATAACTTGACAACTAAGCAGATATGGTGTCCAAACAGCATGGTGACCACCATACACAGCATGACAAGTCACACACCAGCGAGCAGATGACACCACCTCCCTCACCAAAATGGCTCCTCCCTGCATACTCTTTTTGCTGCTATTACACTCTATACACACGTTATATATAAGTATCTACATTTGTGTTCAACATTTGAGACCCACTAAGCTGGTATGAGGAGTCCAGACAATAACAGGTCGCCACACACAGTCAGCACACGATGCTACTTCCCTCCCTCCCTCACCAAGATTACTCCTGGTTGATACCTGGTTGATGGGGTTCTGGGAGTTCTTCTACTCCCCAAGCCTAGCCCAAGACCAGGCTTGATTTGTGAGGGCTTGGTCCGCTAGGCTGTTGCTTGGAGCGGCCAGCAGGCCCACATATCCACCACAAACCCAGTTGGTCTGGCACTCCTTGGAGAAAATGATCTAGTTTTCTCTTGAAGATGTCCACGGTTGTTCTGGCAATATTCTTATACTCCTCCCACCATACTACGAACATCACTAATTATCACCACAATCCTACTATTATCGGAATCCTGGCCATTTTTATCAGTCAGAGTCTTCTGTAATACTATCATCACTAAATAATAGCAGTTACATATATATTTTGACTTTTTAGGCGATGCTGTGGTCACAAGCTGAACAGCAGTGCTGTTAACTCACACTGCATGCACTAGCCTTGGTTGCTCACTCAGTACTGAGGCTCTCGCAACCGAGAATATAACTCATGTTTTTTTTTTAAATGACATTTATTTACTAGAGCCCTGAGGAAGCTGATCTGAATCCTGTGTAGCCGCGGTACAGTACTTTAAATCATATACAGTATGTATAAGATGTGCGCCGTTCAATGCACTTATACCAAAATCACACATACAGAGGAACTGCTCGGGTGACGAGCAGCCCCCATCAATGAGCATTTCAGGTAACGAGCGAGCCACTCGCAGAAAATTTGTCTCGACTGACGAGCTTCTGCTCGGTTAACGTGAAAACCATGTTGTGCTGCCAAGTGTTCCCGCTGGTTCTCGGACGCCTTCGACGACAGTGTTGTTGTCATTTCACAAGACGGGTGTTTCACATGACGAGCTCGGTGCCGGAACGGATTAATTTCATTGACCGAGGTGTAACAAACTAGGCTGGTTGTAAGAATTATTCCAGAAGGTTCCAGAAGTTTCGTGTAGGGACCTGACCTCAACAACGCACATTCCTCTGGGGATTAGCAGGTCTGAGTCACAAATGGCGGGCGTCTCTGTTCATAGTTGCGTATAATGAATCATCCTATAGTATTCAGTAATTTAGAGAAATTAGCCTTTATTCATTTTGTATTAAAATTGTATTGTATAATATTCCTGGTTATAGTACCAAGAGTATTCCAATTATTAGGAGATTTGAGTTAAGTCACCATCAGTGACGTCACGAATCAGATCTAAGTTGTAAGGCGCGAGTGACCGGCGGTCATAGGTCATCAGAGTTGACATGTCCACTATTTCTCAAAGTTCAAATAACCATTTTGGTGATCGGGAACAGCTCTGCCGTTAGATGCTTGTGTAATTTAACTTCAGTAAAATAATTCAACCAGTCTGGATCAATTAAGTACAACAGAGGTTAATTGTTATAACTTAAACCTTGCTAGTAACTTGGTAAAACTTAGACTATGCGGAAGGATACAATGCTCTAGTCTGGGGAAGACCAGACGAGGAGAGATTAGTGTGGACGCGAGATCAACTGGGAGAGGTCAACCACCTTACCTTCCCCAAGACCAGCCCCCAACATCTTTAGCTGGTCGCCCAAGGTAGAGTTGCTGTATGAGTTTTTATAGGGATAGTCAACTCATAGCCGTTCAGGTCAAGTAGGGAGTGAACATCTTTAGATTTTGTTTTAGTTTTTCTTTTGATAAATTAATTAGTTAATAATTTGCATTTTTATTATTTCCATGTGTATGTATATGTATGTGAACTTGTCCTGGTCACGTGGTCCACACGAGGCAGAGTTGGATTGGGCGCCGATTCTAACATCAAATCGGAAGTCATCAGTCCCGTTTAATTAATTCCACACTTAAGATCTTTAAGGGCATCGGTTATAGTGGGGATCAAGCCCCAAGGTTGATTAATTAGCATGATCGATCCAGACCTCGATCATTGCTCAGTGTTACTGGTCTGGTGGTGGCGGCGGAGGCGACTCTAGGGTTTTGCTCAAAGCCTATGTCACGTCATACGGGTTGTAGAATCCTAAGTCGGTCAATCGTCTTAGGACCACGTGGCGTGGAGTCGGCTTTAGTAAAAGTTTTGGAGTCCCTTGTAGAGAATAAAAAGTAAGAATACGGGTAGAGGGTGAAAAGAAGAAGGAAAGATAAGACGAGAACACCCTCCCCGTGTTACAGAGGCACCACTGTACATGTATTGTGCCCTTTAAGGGTTAAACAAATATCTTAAAAACATTTTATGAGAGTAGAGATATTACATTAACATTCTTTCCTACAAGCCACGAAACACATTTGAGAACTGAACGAACCTTTATCCAACTTGTGGGCATATTCAAGGACAGATATTAATGTGACAAAGGCCATGAAGTGACAAAGGCTCTGAAGTCATGTCAACTCTGAAGGCCTTGTGTGTAACGTCATATAAGCTTAGAATTACCTTCACAAAATCGAGGTACCGTCGCATTGAGAACTGTGGGCCGACCATGAAAGACGCTGGAAAGTACGTGTGAGCTGCAATTTCCACTAATGTTGGAGTATAGGGTAAGGCTGTTTTTTGTTGGTCATTTGATAATTTCTCCTGAAAAATAAAAAATTAATAAGACTTAAAAAAAAAAAAACAGGAACAGGCAGCAGCATATATATAATTCCATAAATTGTTTTTAAGATTTCATTTCCTAAATTACAGGTATTGTTTGTATTTACAAATGAAATTAAATCAATTAATTTTGAAACAAGAATTATTATCTAACATCTACTTTGTGAATAATTATTGGGCATTACACAATCAATAAATTTGTTTATCATTAATACTTCTGGACAAGAAATATTGAAAAATAAGCAAAATATGTCAATAGAGAAAGAGAGATATACATAATCATTTACACTTGGAAAACATTGTAGGGACTGGATCCTAATATGCACACAGAAATAACACCACATGAGACCAGGGCAGGATGTGCAAAATAGCCCCCACTGTTGCACCAAGCAGAGGTGAAACAGGTAAGCTGAGAGAGAATGCTATCAACATCAAGGGAAGAGATAAAGACGCAACACACAAGGGGCGTAACTGGCCAACCTGTCATGTAACACGATAAACACCTCAAAAAGTCACCTAATCAAACTGGTTGTGATTCAAATGTCAGGTTGCAACCAGCTGCGTTCAAACAGCCTGGTTGATACCTACTTGATACCTGGTTGATGGGGTTCTGGGAGTTCTTCTACTGCCCAAGCCCGGCCCGAGGCCAGGCTTGACTTGTGAGAGTTTGGTCCACCAGGCTGTTGCTTGGAGTGGCCCGCAGGCCCACATATACCTGGTTGATGGGGTTCTGGGAGTTGTTCTACTGCCCAAGCCCGGCCCGAGGCCAGGCTTGACTTGTGAGAGTTTGGTCCACCAGGCTGTTGCTTGGAGCGGCCCGCAGGCCCACATACGCACCACAGCCCGGTTGGTCCAGAACTTCTCTTAGAAAACAGACCACCAACCAGGAGGTGTGGTCAGAAATCGGGCTGCAGGAATGTTGATCCGCACAACCCACAACATGTAGACAAAAGTCGGTGATAATTTATATTGTCATAACTCTACTCCCCTTACAGGTAATGGTAAAAGTTCAATGCCACCCTTTATTCCAGTGATGAGTACCATCCCCTTATCCCACTGATGAGTACCATCCCCTTATCCCATTGATGAGTACCATCCCCTTATCCCATTGATGAGTACCATCCCCTTATCCCACTGATGAGTACCATCCCCTTATCTCACTGATGAGTACCATCCCCTTATCTCACTGATGAGTACCATCCCCTTATCCCACTGATGAGTACCATCCCCTTATCCCATTGATGAGTACCATCCCCTTATCCCACTGATGAGTACCATCCCCTTATCCCACTGATGAGTACCATCCCCTTATCCCACTGATAAGTACCATCCCCTTATCCCACTGATGAGTACCATCCCCTTATCCCACTGATGAGTACCATCCCCTTATCCCACTGATGAGTACCATCCCCTTATCCCATTGATGAGTACCATCCCCTTATCCCACTGATGAGTACCATCACATTATCCCACTGATAAGTACCATCCCCTTATCCCACTGATGAGTACCATCCCCTTATCCCACTGATGAGTACCATCCCCTTATCCCACTGATGAGTACCATCCCCTTATCCCACTGATGAGTACCATCCCCTTATCCCACTGATGAGTACCATCCCCTTATCCCACTGATAAGTACCATCCCCTTATCCCATTGATGAGTACCATCCCCTTATCCCACTGATGAGTACCATCCCCTTATCCCATTGATGAGTACCATCCCCTTATCCCACTGATGAGTACCATCCCCTTATCCCATTGATGAGTACCATCCCCTTATCCCACTGATGAGTACCATCCCCTTATCCCATTGATGAGTACCATCCCCCTTATCTCACTGATGAGTACCATCCACTTATCCCACTGATGAGTACCATCCCCTTATCCCACTGATGAGTACCATCCCCTTATCCCACTGATGAGTACCATCCCCTTATCCCACTGATGAGTACCATCCCCTTATCCCACTGATGAGTACCATCCCCTTATCCCACTGATGAGTACCATCCCCTTATCCCACTGATGAGTACCATCCCCTTATCCCACTGATGAGTACCATCCCCTTATCCCACTGATGAGTACCATCCCCTTATCCCATTGATGAGAACCATCCCCTTATCCCACTGATGAGTACCATCCACTTATCCCACTGATGAGTACCATCCCCTTATCCCATTGATGAGTACCATCCCCTTATCCCACTGATGAGTACCATCCCCTTATCTCACTGATGAGTACCATCCCCTTATCCCACTGATGAGTACCATCCCCTTATCTCACTGATGAGTACCATCCCCTTATCCCATTGATGAGTACCATCCCCTTATCCCATTGATGAGTACCATCCCCTTATTCCATGGATGTCTCCCCACCATCACAATGTCTCACCATACCCTGCCAGTCCAAGGTACCTTGAGGTTACCTTGAGGTGCTTCCGGGGCTTAGCGTCCCCGCGGCCCTGTCGTCGACCAGGCCTCCTGGTTGCCGGACTGATCAACCAGGCTGTTGGACGCGGCTGCTCGCAGCCTGACGTATGAGTCACAGCCTGGTTGATCAGGTATCCTTTGGAGGTGCTTATCCAGTTCTCTCTTGAATACTGTGAGGGGTCGGCCAGTTATGCCCCTTATGTGAAGCGGAAGCGTGTTGAACAGTCTCGGGCCTCTGCTGTTGATAGTTCTCTCTTGAACACTGTGAGGGGTCGGCCAGTTATGTCCCTTATGTGTAGTGGAAACGTGTTGAAGTCTCGGGCCTCTGATGTTGATAGTTCTCTCTTGAACACTGTGAGGGGTCGGCCAGTTATGCCCCTTATGTGTAGCGGAAGCGTGTTGAACAGTCTCGGGCCTCTGATGTTGATAGAGTTCTCTCTCAGAGTACCTGTTGCACCTCTGCTTTTCAACGGGGGTATTCTGCTCATCCTGCCATGTCTTCTGGTCTCATGTGATGTTATTTCTGTGTGCAGGTTTGGGACCAGCCCCTCTAATATTTTCCACGTGTAAATTATTATGTATCTCTCCCACCTGCGCTCAAGGGAGTACAGATTTAGGCTCTTTAGTCGGTCCCAATAGTTTAGGTGTTTTACTGAGTGGATTCTAGCAGTAAAGGATCTCTGCACACTCTACAGGTCAGCAATTTCTCCAGCTTTGAAAGGGGCTGTCATTGTGCAGCAGTACTCCACTCTAGAGAGCACAAGCGTTTTGAAAAGTGTCATCATCGGTATAGCATCTCTAGTGTGAAAAGTTCTTGTTATCCAACCTGTCATTTTTCTTGCAGTTGTGACAGATACTTTATTGTGTTCTTTAAAGGTAAGGTCTTCCGACATGAGTACACCCAGATCCTTTACATTGCCTTTACGTTCTATGTTATGATTTGCCTGAGTTTTGTACGTGGTTTCAGTTTTTATATTTTCATATTTTCCATAGCGCATGAGCTGGAACTTATCTTCGTTAAACACCATATTATTTTCTGTAACCCATAGAAAGACCTGATCTACATCTGACTGGAGGTTTGCCGTGTCCTCTATGTTGCCTACTCTCATGAAGATCCTAGTGTCATCTGCAAAGGATGATACAGTGCTATAGGTTGTGTTCTTGTCTATGTCCGATATGAGGATGAGAAAAAGTACTGGAGCAAGCACAGTACCCTGGGGGACTGAGCTCTTCACGGTTGATGGGCTGGATTTTATTTTGTTGACTATTACACATTGGGTTCTGTTGGTCAGGAAATTGTAGATCCATCTGCCTATTTTTCCGGTAATTCCTTTTGAACGCATTTTATGTGCAATAACGCCATGGTCACATTTATCAAAAGCTTCTGCGAAATCTGTGTAAATTACATCAGCGTTTTGTTTGTCTTCCATAGCATCTAATGCCATATCATAGTGGTCCAGCAACTGCGACAGGCAAGAGCGCCCTGTTCTGAAACCATGTTGTCCGGGGTTATGGAGATGCTGTGATTCCATGTATTTTGTGATCTTACTTCTTAGCACTCTCTCAAAATTTTGTATAATGTGCGATGTTAGTGCTATTGGTCTGTAATTTTTTGAAGTGGTGCTATCTCTGCTGTTTTTAGTATATCAGGAATAATGCCAGTATCTAGGCTTTGTCTCCACAGAATGTGGTGGGCCTGCAATAATGGTTTTTTACAGTTCTTGATGCATATGGAGTTCCAAGAATCCGGGCCTGGTGCAGAGTGCATAGGCATACTGTTTATGGCTTCTTCAAAATCCAGTGGGGATAGGGTGACGTCTTATATATGATTAGATGTTGGTATCATATCCATGAAAAATTCATTTGGGTTATCAATCTTTAGTGCGTTTAATGGCTCACTGAAAACAGAGTCGTACTGCTTCCTCAGTAGCTCGCTCATTTCTTTGTTGTCATCGGTGAAAGTTCCATCTCCGTTTCGCAGGGGCCCGATACTAGATGTGGTTTTTGATCTTGATTTTGCATAGGAGAAAAAATATTTCGGATTTCTCTCTATTCCACTGATGGCCTTTTGCTCTCTTTGCCTCTCCTGGGTTTTGTATGATTCTTGTAGCTTGCGTTCAATTGTTTCTATTTCTTTATCTAACCTTCTTCGCCGTTCTTGAGATAGGGTGCGACTCTCAAGTTGTTCCGCGATTCCTTTTCTTCGCCTATATAGGGAACGACGTTCCCGTTCCAATCTGCATCTCTTCCTCTTTTTTTTCTTAGGGGTATGCGGTTTGAACATATTTCTAGTGCTACTGAGCTTATTTTTTCCAGGCACTGGTTCAGGTTTGCAGTTTCTAGCTGTTCTTCCCAGTTTATTTCTGTGAAGTCCTGGTTTATTTGCTCCCAGTTTATCTGTTTATTATTGAAGTTGAATTTGCTGAAATCTCCTCCACCGGGAATCGGGACTGGTTTTGAAGGTCTACTCCCCATGGTTGTCATAACTTCAATTAAGTTGTGATCTGAGTAACAGGTATTTGTAATCATTATGTTCCTGATCAATTCATCATTATT